CCCGAGCGCACGCCGCGCCCCGTCCCCGCTGCACGCCAGCGCCACCTGGGAGTCGTCGTCGTCGAGGTCTCGTTCGAGCGGTCGGTCGAGGAGAACGAACGTGAAGCCGCGGCGACGACGGGGAGAGCGAGGCGGGACGGCGAACTCGCGAGTCACGACGATGCCGGCGGCGACGCGAGACGCCATCACCGATTTCCCGGTCGCCGCCAACGCCACGTGCTCAACGTCTCGAATCGCTCCCGCCACGCGCTCCGCAGAGACCTCCCCTGCCCCCTCGCCGGCGCCCCCTGCCCCCTCGCCGGCGCCCCCTTGCAGGAGCTCCCACAGCAGCGCGGCGACGTGCGCCGGCTCCTCTCCCGCGAGTCTTGTCTCGAGATGCGTCCGCGCGACGTTCCTGCAGAGGGCGCCATGGTCGCGCCGGCGCACGCAGCGCCCCCACAGCGCGGCGCACCGCGACGCCGCCTCCCGGAGTAGCGAGGGTAGCGCGTCGCAACGCAGGCGCGCAAACGCTCTCGCGACCTCCGACCTCCCCGCGCCGCCGCCGGACGACCCCACGAGGTCGCGAGCGAGACGCTGGATGACCTCGCTCACGAGCAGCACGCAGGTCTTCGCGCCGTCGCCCGCGCGCTCGCAGTGCCCCCTGGCGGCGGCCGCGATGAGCCGAGCGGCCGGGTGCGACGGGGAGAGGGCGGAGAGCAGCGTAGCGCCGTCTCGCGTGAGGAGAACCCTTCCCATGTCCGACACGACGAGGGAGAGGAGGCCGTTGGGGCCGTACGATTTCGAGAGGAGCAGCCAGAGCTGGCGGAGGTCGGGCGCGAGTTTGTCGAGCGGGCACGCCGCCGCGCACAGTTCCATCGTCGTGTACGCAGACCACCCGTAAGGAGTTACCATGCAAATAATTCACGACAACGTCCGACGTGTGTCGTTTCGCGGCCGCCTAGAATGGAAGTCACATCAATCTAGAACAGCAATATCGGATTTCAAAATGAGTGGGCTGCCGTGAGGTGTCGCAGACATGCCAGCCTTTATGTATTAGCACAGAGCGATTTTTGTTTTCGTGAGAGTGATTTCAATCCAGTTGCAAGGCCTGATGAGGTGTATTGTGACGGCCCACGCACACACTATTTATGTAGCCCTGTACATCGTTTCTTGGCTCACTTGTATTCGGGATACATGAAAAACAAATTTGACGTCGGTACTTTCTTTCCATATTTCCTGCTACACTTCGCGGAGGTTACTATCAACCTAACATTTACATGCAATGCTACAGAGTTACATGCATGCATGAACGCACGCACGTACATGCACAGCCAATAGGCAGTTTTACACGTTGGTCGACGCTACACGACACATTACGAAGTGACATAACACAAACACGTTGGAAGACACGCAGCAACAGAACACACGCCCACGCACACACACGCCCACGCACGCGCGCTCACCGTGACACTCTAGCTCGTCCGATGAGTCACCGCAGTCGTTGTCCATGTTGCAGACGACGGCTGCACGGACGCAGTTACCGTTTTGGCACTTGTAGTACGGCGGTCTGCAATTCATCTCGGAACCTGCAAGACAAGATTTCCCGCCGATATTACCTCTTTTGTTGGTGTAGTTGAAGTTGTTGACGATTGTTGTTGTGATTCGATTGATGAGGGGTTTCATTGTTAACGTTTGCACGAAGCGAACGTAGCATTTACGCCTGGTTAGGGATTAGAAGACCAAGCTACCGCCCATATCTGAAGTTGCAGATTTAAGATAGCTGCCTTACTTTTTAGATCCCACAAAAATGCAAAACAAACGTTGATTGAATTTGAAACAAGACAAGCCCAACATGTCAATTGTCATAACTTCATAAGTCTGATAAGATGTTGTGATCATCTCTTACTGGATGTGTTTCTCAACGACATGGTCACGATGGTGTAGATGTTTGAATGTTTCAATCACACATTCAAATATTTCCCATTATACGTCTAAACTGTCAACCAATATGGCAGTGGCACCAGTCAAGACATTTCCCCGCATTCACACATAATTTAGCTTTGTAACAATCGCCATCTTTAATAACGGGACTATTTACTCATATTACTTCTCATGAGTGGTGTGGCGTGAAAGGTTAAAATAAACAAGCAAGTTTTCTTTTGCTGGCTCGTTACGCATTCATAACATACATAAACGTAAAGGCAAATACAGTTAACACTAATATGTAAACATTTGTTACAAGTTACAGCAAGCCACTTAAAAATTTACCCAAACACTTATCTAACAGAGGTAAAAACTTTACATGCGTGAATTTGAAACGACCTTTTGTACTATTATAGAATTCATAACTTATATTGAAAGGTCTTCAGTGTTATTTGTACCGTTTCAGTTACGATTTTAATTACCTAATCCCACAAGCAACTGAATAAAATGTAAATCAAGCATAATGAGGGTTTTATGTTTTGGAATGTATCCAGTAGATGGCAGTGTGATCGATTTGCCTTGGCATCTTTTTGTTTACCTGAGGCCGATTATGTGAAAACCAAAACAAATAGCATGTCGAGATACACAAAACTATGCAGGGATACCGCAAAGAATTGATTATAATCTATTAGCACCCAGCAATGGCGAAGGTAACGTTTAGTAATTGGCATTGTCATTGTGTATGGATTGCAAACAGTGAAACACTCAATAATGTAATAAGTAAATATTTATTATTATTATCATTATTGATAATAACAATATTATGTAGATTACAATCATACAATGTTATCTGTTATTAGTAGTTGTACTACTACTACTACTACTACTACTACTACTAGTACTATATAAGTTTCGTTGTGTCATGCAGTGATATGTATTATTATATTCTGCTGTAACTTAGTAGCTGAGTCTTTGCTCCACAGCATTGTCAACAAGATGAAACACAAACTAATCAAATTCAAAGGGTTATTCACTTATTGATAAATTGTAATGAAATCATAAGTTGTTGTCCTTTGGCTTTGTATTATAATTATAATTTAATAGTAATATGCTACACTACACACAACAACATACTTATGTGTAAGGTGTAGCAAATATGTATCACAGAAATAGTACTAAATTATAATAGGAGTAAGATAATATAGGATCTATATTATCTTACTCCTGGTTATATATACTCTGTAAATAATGTAAAGTAGCTGATAGAATAACAATCTTTTTCCTGTAGTAACATTGCAATGTCGTATTTTTTTGCAGGAAGTTTTCCAAATCGGAGAGAAGGTCCACGGACAAGGACCAATAGTATTTGCGTGGCAAAATCTTCATGGAAACTATCTTGTAACATCAGGGTAATATATATTTATTATATTATTAAGAGCTAAAGCTCATTTCAAGACCATAGGTATCTTTCCTTGCTATAGTTCGGTTTATTGTGTTTATACATTGAAGGATGCCACGCGCACTACTCTAAGAACGGGTTTCTCTTCCCGCTCCGCAGGCTCTACGGTTTAGTGGGTGCGCTAGTGGCACCCGTTTCTTAGTGGGGGTAGTAACAGGGTGCGTT